ACGCTTCCTCTCACCACCAGAAACACCACGGACGAAGGGGTTGCCGACGATGGTGTGACGAGTGTGCTCAATGTTGAACATCTTGAGGAGCATAGTGATAACCTTCTCCTTGAAATCCTGCTTTGTGATACCAGGGGGAAGCTTGCCGGGGATCTTGACGTCCAGAGCGAAGGCAAGAGTCTGCTCGACCGTAAGGGTAGGATGGTGCATGTCCTCCTCCATGTTGTAGACGGCCTCACCGCGGTACTGAAGGAACTCTTCAGATGTAAAGGGTCCATAGAGCACATCACCAGTAACCGAAGTGAACCCATCGCGCTGGTTGACAATGTTCTTGAGGAACGTGGTACATCCAGAGCCCGGCTTTCCGAGGACCAGGACCATCTCTCCAGGCTTGCAAACACCTCTGAAGCTGTGCAGCAAGGTCGCCTCGGGCATCTTCTTACCAAGACCCAACATGTTCACAACAGGAGTGACGACGTCGAAGAAGTCGATAAAGGCGTTGGGGAACGTCTTGACGAAGTTAGTGCTACTAGCAATACCCTTCACAGTCAAGCCGTCCCAGTAAACACCGATATGCTTGGGGCGGATGCCGGCTTCCCTTTCTGCCTCCAGATCGCCACGCAGGGCAGCCTCAAGGTCGAATTGCTCCGGCGCACTCTCAGATGAGGTTTCGACGTGCATCTGTCCCTTCTCGGCGTCTCCATGGTGTGTCGACCTATTGGCATGGCTCTGAGTACGACTCGCACGAGACAACTCCCTTCGCAGCTCGCGAAAGTCGTTCTCGGCTTGTTCGACAGAGATGCCGGAGACAGCGCGGCTAAGGCCGTTGGGGTTGTTGCGGCGGGCCTCCTCACGAAGCTCCTCGATGTCCTGGGTCCTTGAGGAGGCACTGGTGGATGGCGGTTCGGTTTGGTTGGGCCCTTCGATGCTGGGCTTCCGCCCAGCGGTGGTTGAGTCCATGTGGACTAATGTAAAGGATGATTTGGTTATTACTGCTGGGTAGAACAGGTTTTAGTTATCCATGTTATATTATAGATATGAGGAAGTTTGACTATTATAGCTTCTGCCTCAGCTGGGAATGGTCAGGAAAGGTTACTCACTAACTGTTTTCGATAACGAAGACTAAGTGGATGATGAGAGAGAAGTAGAAGGGCTGAAAGCCCAAGTCAACGGAAACAAGAGTGATGTGAAGGGGATAGAAGCCTTTCGTCCAGATCAGACGAGCGCAACCACAGGAGGTTGACCAAGGGCTATATGCCACACTCTTCGCCTGTCAAGACGATGACGAAGTGATGCAGAGGAGGGTAGGAACAGTTCACCGGGAAACAAGGAGGGGGGAATCAACGGAATAAATTTGAAAAGGTCTTTTAGAAACGGGTCCAACCCTCCAACGGGTCCCAAAGTTCCATCGAGTTGCTTCGAAGCTGCCATGGACCAGCTAGACCCTTTTCGTGTCCAATGGCACATCCGCCACCATGTCGCCCATGTAGCGGGCAAGGGTTGTTTCTGCTAGTTCGGCGTGCTAGGTTTCTTTCCGGTGACAGGAAACCAACGCGGCCGGGGGAGCCTGGATGGCAAAGGGGATTGCAGTGCCATCGGCGCTTCTTGGCGGATAGAAGCTCCAATCGACGTCGACTTGCTCAGGTACCAGCCGAGCCAGCCATGCAAGCAGAGGGGACATTCTGCCGAACTCCGCAAATCCGTTGTACTCTGTTTTCTTTCTTATTGTTCTCATTGATTTTCAGCACGGTATTGTGACGAAACTTGGTGATGATGGCGAGGACTGAACCGACTGTTAAGTGTATGAGAAAATTCAAAATTTCAACGGCATGATTGATTGGTGGTTGATGTCAAAAACCGTTGGATCAACGGGACGCCTCCCGTCTTTGTCGTCCTTTCCCTAACCGACCCTCTCGTTGGAGGCTCCACCAGCTCACACTACTGCAGTGTATGTACATTACTTGGGGCAGGTACATCCTTCCAGATACAAACTCTGATACAGTGGAATCCCCTGAAACAGCATGTAATCCAGACCAGGAAATTCTAGGTAGGCACCAAATAGCGCACACACACAGGTTTACGCAGCAGACTGGAGCCAAAACTTATGCAATATCTGGCTCCTGGAGGATACAGTTACAGGGGTTCTTACTGCACCATTCTTTCACTGACAAAACTGGAAGAGGGAATCCATGTCAAGTCCATGACCAGATGTTATCGGCACATCACCGCCTTTCTCTGGTCTACCAGGCTACCTACCTATCCGGTCCATTTTCCACGAGCACGTACTTCCCCCAGCTCTTCGTAGCAACGTGGAGATGATGGCCATCTCTTCAACCTTCAAGACGAGGGATCTCCGGGGAAAGACACAAAAGAATGGAAATGGTGCCGAAAACAATCTAAATTCTTTGAATCGCCAAGACATTCTGGGAGGCTCTGAACCCCCGCGGTACGTACCCTATCTCATACTGCAGTTGGTGAGCAGCGAGAATGTCGACGACTTGTGGGGGACGGTGGAGCTGCAAATACGGCATGCCATTGGTCAATATCAACTGGAATCCTTCCCGGTGGGCGTGAACGGTGTGGTCCCGAAACATTACCATGTGCTTTTCTCGTGTCCAGAGTGATACAGTGAGGTACCCATGAGTCCTTTTTCAGACAAGTGGTCCAGTGATGGTTAGGTACATACCCTCAAGAGTAGGTATCGCTTTGGAAGCTCGGTGATCGGCAAACTCAAAAGAGTGAGGAGGGGTCATGACAAGAGCAACTTAGTCGGCGAGTGACTCGAATGACCGCTCTTTTCTAGTTTCTCTGACCGTATCGTGTCTCCTCCACCCTCCCTTGTTGACCACAATGAATCATTATGATATTTACATATCACTGACCCAGCATGATTGTGTTGCCTAGTTGACTTGACCCCACTCATCAACGTGTCCATTCATGCCGCTTGCATGTGCGTGCAGCAAAGCCATCTCAACCAGACAACGCCGTTTACCTACATATGTAGTCTATTTGACCAAGATATAGTACATTCTGTGCATCCCACATAGGTACAGGACGGCAAGTGCATACCTGCTTCAACGTTTTAGCTGTGTCATCTTACATGTAGCAATCTGAAAGCGTATCTTGTTCCACGGCATTTCACTTCGTTATTTGAATAGTTCACCGTCGATATGTACGCTACGTCCCACACGCACCGCATGTCACCAACCATCCGATCAAGGTTTTCCCCACGCTCTTGTCCAGTCCATTAGTATTCCTTTATTTCCAGCAATTCTTTTTTTTTTTTTTTTTTTTTTTTTTTTTTTTTTTCATATGTCGAACCCAACCGTGAGCCGGAGAAAGGACCAACGGGTCTGAAGTCTCCTGTGGGGACACCATCCTTCGCATCCCCAGAGGTAACCTTCTCCGCCTCAGCTTTCTCATGGGTTACATGCCGTCATCCGCGGTTCTGCCTTAATATGTATCCCCATGTTGTGTTAATGTTTGTTCTTCCTGGATTACAAATCCAACATCGGTTTCCTTGCCTCATCGTTGTATCTTGTTGTTCACTCCTTTCTCTGTAATTCTGTTCGTCTTCCCACCAACACCCGGTATCGTGTCGAATACCTTGAATGTTCATGTTCTGCCCGTTGGCGGTTCTGGTCAAGGACGATATGATCCATCGTTAAGAAATGAGAGCGCTCATCTCATAAAGAATCATAACTTCTCCCCAGCTAAGGGAAAAAAAAAAAAAAAAAAAAAATTTAAAAAAAAAAAAAAGAAATGTACGTCTCTTGCACTGTACCGTTGGTACGTCGCAACAAAAGAGGAGCATGCAATTTCGCGACAGTTGCCATTCGGGAGGGAGCGCCCCAAACTCTTGTGACACCGGTATGTAAATTGTTAGTGACGGAAGCTTATCATTGCTCGTTATCGTCTCGGCCCCCTCTCCCCCGGGCACGGGGTGGCGGAGGGAAATTGAAGTGGGGTTTCCGCCGACCGACCGACCGACCGACCGACCGGAGAAGTAGAGTGGACGGAACCGCAACGTTCCTGTCCCGGGACTACAACGGGGCATCGACAGTGCAAAACACTTGAAATGCGGGGTCGGAGTCACACCTGTTTGCGTAATTCTCACGTGTGTACGGTGACCCTGGCATTTGATTCCCGAGTCAAATACCACAACCCTTTCACGGAGAGGCAGGAGTCGGGCCCGAAGACGGACAAGGTACGTAGCAACTTAAGTATCTGTCACTCCTCGAATGGCTTGGCATATCGATCCATCTCTGTCTTCAACACCTATCACGTTCTGATTAATTCGTCTGCTTCTGTCAACACTGACATGGCTTGTATATTCGTCGTCGGTCGTTCTTACCATCAGGCTGATGAGATTGGTGTAACAAACCGACGCTTGTGAGATGTGCCCAGCCCATTTTCCTAGTTGGTATGTGTTTTGGAAATTCATATCCCAAAATTCAGGAGCCGCGGTATAGAAAGAAGACAGGCCAAGATCTGCGTGAGTCAGCGTGACAGCATGGCATCGAGAGAATGGTCAACAAGACTGTTGAAGAAAGACAAGAAATATAGGTCGTTGGGGGGGGGGGGAAATGGAAGAGTAAAAAAAAGAGAAAAAAAAAAGAAGAAAAAAAAAGGAAGAAACAAAAAAGGTCATGATAAAAGGATGAAGAGTAATCCGATGGTCATGTTACTGACAGAGTCTTCCCGTATGACCGGCTTGTGACGGACCCATATCTGATAGCAACAAAATACCTATCTTGCGATGTAGCTACCATGGTCAGAAGAGGTTCCTCCGCGTAGGGCGTGGTAGCGAAGTGGAAAGACGAAGATGATTTAATCTAAAACTGCGTTGCGAGCTGACAGGTATACCACAAGAGGAACGAACAATATTGCGTCCTGCTCTCAATGTCTATAACCGGCATGCAACCATCATTGGAATGCGAATTTACGTCCGAGTTCGCTGTGTAAGAGAAAATCAACCTTGATATAAATAAAAAAAGGGAAAAAAAGAACCCCAACCCAACCAAAAACCGCTCTTGCAAGCTACTGTAACCGATTCCTGAACCCGTCCGTCCATTCCCCCGCCATGACGTAGAGAATCAGAAAGAAAGCCCAAAGGATATTTGTGCGTGTGATACAAATCAATGCCAGATTTAGAGGGAGATGTAAGAAAGAAGTGATCAACAGCCCGTTGTCCAGTTGCTTGCGCACACAATTCCTTACTCCTTACCTACAAAACCTGATCCCTCCTTTTTCAATATCCATTCAAAGCCAAGTTCCAACTTACAGCTCCGACCTCAAAGCTCCGACTCAGCCCCATTCTGTTCAATCGCCATCGGACTCCCGTTCTGCTTTTGCCTCCTAGGAGGCCCCCGCCGCCTCGAAGCTGTCCTGCTGCTCACACCCATGCTCTCATCCTCGTCATCCGACCCTTGTTGTTCCGCATAGCGACGAGCCTCGTCCAGCACGCTCAAGTCGTCAGGCTTGCTGCGCAACCACTGCATGCGTGGCCCGGAACGCGCGATTTCTGACACCTTGAAACCGTAGATCTTGGGCTGGTAAATCTTGCCCCTGCCCAGCCCCGGCGCTATGTTGCGCGCGTACATGCCGTTAATGACGGTGGTGTCGTCAGAGCCGGATCGTGTGAGGTTGCTAACGCTCTCGGCGCCGGTCTTGGTCAAGTCGTATTCGGGGAAGGTCATGAGGAAGAGCGCGCCAAAGGTGCGGCCGAAGAAGGCGCCGTCCACCGTCTGGAAGCGGCTGTTTGGCGGTACGTAGACGTCCAGGCAAGACGGGCAGAACAGCTTAACCGTGTCTTCGCCGGGCGTGTCCGAGAGGCCGACGGGCAGCGTGCGGGTCTGGTTGCAGTTTGTGCGTGGGCAGATGCCGAAGTGACCGAGCTCGTATTTTTCCGACATTTGCTGGATACCCGCCCGCGAGCAGATGAAGCGCTGATGGATCAGACCGTACAGCATCTCGGCCGAGGACTCGATCACAGAGAGATCGCTCGCGATGCGGCTGTGGTGTCTCCTTTCGCCGTGGGGCTTGTTGATACCATCGCCGCCAGACATGTCTTCCTCGTCCTCCTCGTCCTCCTCCTCCTCGTCATCATCGTCCTCAGGCTCGACATCAAGGATCATCTGGTCAGGACAAAACCACAATGATTAGCTGTTGACGTAACGGACAAAAAGGTTCCAGAACAAGCATACCTCGAGAGCCTCCTTGTACATGGCGATCTGGGTCTGCAGGCCAGTAAGGTTAAAGTCATCTTCGATGAATTCTTCTGACACTTCGGCAAAATACTCGTGTCCCAGGAGGGAGCAGAAGGATGCGATCCAAGACTCTGGCACGCCCGACGAGCTCGACATGGTGGAATTGGATACGGAAGCGCCGCGAAAAGATTCGAGTGTTTGGCGACGGAGTAGGTGTTCGATGAGGCTGTTGGTACCGCTATCGGGCGTTATCTGATGAGTGCGATCGAAAGGCGCAAGACGACGACTGGGTGTAGCTAGTGTCCCTTGGGGTCGACGCTCATCTGCGATGCCGGATGGGAGATTTCAATTGTTTATTGCGTAGACATGACCGAGCGCATGAGATGGCGCAAATAGATGGACGAAAGGACAGACAGACTAGCTAGGCGCTTCAATGATTGTCTGCGTGGTGTTGCAGCGAAGGAGGTGGTTGGTGGTTCCTGTGCTGTTTTGGAGTTTGCGCTAACGGAGGCTGTCGACTCGATGGCTCTGTTTGCCTTTGGGGTTGCTCGAGAAGAAGCCCGCGCCCTCATTTCGTGCTACAGCCCACCCGTGGGTGCCTGGTCTGTGCGGCCCCCCCGTCTTTTCAGTCTGGGCCCTTCCCAATCCTCCTCTTTCAACCCTTCCCGCAGGGAGCAGCCCCGCGCCCAGCCCCACGGTAGTATGATGCCTGATTTTTGCGCCTTCTCACATAACCCTGCTGAGCCCTGCCACATGCGCGTGCGGCAGCGCGTCTGAACCCAACCGTCTACTTTATCAGGTGGAACCAAGATAAGTAAAGGGTCCACTTGGTGATGCCGTGGTCGATGAAAGGTACGTACCTTCCTCCCTCATGTGGTCTGATTTGTGTATGTATTTCTGGAAGCTTGTCAGGGACTCAGGGTACCAACCTTGGGTGGCCATTGCTGCTTTTGTTCTTTTTTCGTCAAGATTCCCTTCTTTGTATATTTTAATATTTCATATGTTTCATGGAGGAAAGTCACCTCCCAGCTCTAGGCCAACACGGCTACTTGCATCGACGAGGCACCTCCGCCAACCGCTCTTCACTTTCACCCACCATGCCAGGAACCTCAAAACAGTGGCAGAGACAGTTGCGCCGATCAGCATAGAGGACTTCAGAAGAGTTGCATTTCAAGCTCAAAGGCCTCTTCTTATACGACCAAGCTCCAAACCCTCTACGTTGAGCCCTTGCCCCAACCAGCAAAATGATGCCAATACCCAAACAAACACTTCGACTTCACCAACTATACTACCCGCCCTAACCAAATGGTTCAACTCCTCTTCGACATTCGGAAAGACCTCATTAACTCCGTACCTTGACAACTTCCGATCTACCATCCTCCCTTACGAACTCTCGTTCCCAAACTCAGCCCAAGTCTTAGGTTTCATGTCTTGGCTACAACGGTCCTCCTCCTCCTCACCAACGGCATCCAGCGATTCACACCCGGACTCCAACTCCAGCTCAGACTCACAATCCCGTCTCGCCCTAGCCCACCTCCTTAAAAACTATATCACTCACCACTCCTCCTCCTCCTCTTCAGAGTTCCTCATTCTCGACCTCCCCCTCCACCTCCTCCTCCTTGCCCACCACTACAACATGTTTCTGTCCTCCTCCCAAACCCCTCCCAACCCCCCGCTCACAAACCTCTACATAGCCCAAGCGCCCCTCTCCCACCTCCCTTCACCCCTCCGATCCGACCTCCCTACCCCTCTCTTGGTTTCCCACGCCGGCCGCGGAGACATCTACTCTTCCAGCATCTGGCTCGGCTTACAACCGACATATACGCCTTGGCATAGAGACCCGAACCCAAACTTGTTTTGCCAGTTGTGTGGGACAAAAGTCCTGCGGCTGATGGCGCCCAAGAGGGGAGAGGCACTGTTTCGGGGGGTGATGGCTTCCTTGGCCGTGGCGGCGGGGTCTGGGAAAATAAGAGGGGAGGAGATGATGAAGGGGGAACAGAGGAGGGCTTTGGAGAGGGCTGTTTGGGCTGGTGACGGCGAAGGGGCGGATGACATGATGTACGAGGTGACGGTGCAGGCAGGGGATATGTTGTTTATGCCATTGGGGTGGTGGCATAGTGTCAAAAGCGCGGGCGAGGAGGGGGGCATTAATGGGAGTGTGAATTGGTGGTTTCGGTAGATGGAGGTTGGCAGCCGGGATGGAGATGAAGGATGTGGTCGGACAAGAGACCGGGACACTGAGTCTTTTAAAAGACAAAAACATGAAGAAAAACAGGTACCCGAAGCGATCCCAGAGAGCGCAGGGCATCTCTCATCCCGACCGATCACATGGCGCACAGGAGCTACCTTATCGATGGACAACAGTACACTCCGGAAAACAGGACGGAGAGGTCGATTAAAAGGTTTCAAAGGCACCTAGGTCAAACGCGTACAGTGTCATAGTAACAAGCACTTGCTCCGCGGAAAACAGACGAGTCAGACAACAATGTCAAATTATTCACAAGAGCAAATCAAGACTCAAGATGGCATCGGCAAGCATCATGTCCCAAGCACGTGCATGTGTAGTACTCCATCATGCTTCTTGATCGAACATTGCATGTGCCGTCATTATGCTGCAAGGTACTACTGCCGTGAAAGGCTTCAAGTGATGAGAAGTTTGTTCATTACTTAAAGATTAGAGCAACGCCAACAATGAAATCCCAGTCCCATAGCAGTCATAAAAGTGTCATGAAATCAGCCAGACCAAAAGCCAAACACCTTGCTGGCTCAGCTAACCATGCGAAGAGAGTGTCGTCAACCAGTGATTCACCTCCATTTTGCCTCGCAACCATTTACTGGGGAATCTTCTCGGCAGTTCCAGGGTACGCTCCCTCGGAAATCGGTTGCTGGTTAGACTCGGTGGCAGCAGCATCGGAAGGGGCAGCGCCGGGCACCTGGTCATTGGGCTTGCTCTCCTGGCCGGGCGCCTTCTCGGCACCGAAGATCTTGTCCAGACCAGCAGCCTTGTACGAGCTGCCGCCTGCCTCCTGCTTCTTCAGCTCAGCCAGGCGCTTGGCCTCGTTGTGGATGTCCTGCACCTGCTTGGAGCTGGTGGTGTAGAAGTCGACAATCTTCTTGGCGCCAGGCGCCTCCAAGGCCTTCTCAAAGTACGAGGAGAGGCCGCTGAACAGGGAGTTAGCCCGCGCAGTGATGCCGTAGCTCTGGTCGGCCGTCTTGGCCCGGTCGGTTGCGTGGTACTTTTGGTCGAGGTTCTGAATGGTCGACAGGAAGCGCTGAGAGACGCCGTGCTTCTCGTCGAGAGCAATGGCCGTCTTCAGGCCACTGTCGGCAACGAGGTAGCCGCTGGCCAAGTACTCGGCAAGGACGCGCGCGCGGGGCTTCTCTTCCTGTGTGATCTCATCTGTGTCGCGGTCGGCGTCGGACTTGGGGTGGACATTGTCGCCGGAATCGGCGTGCTCTCCCGAAGCAGAGGTGACGGAGAGCTCGTGCTCGCCAAGCTTGGTGTGATCGAGGAGAAGAGCAGTGCGAGCGGCGCTCTCCTTTTCAAAGGTCACCGTGGCGGACTTGGTCTCGCCTTCGGTGGTGACATCGAGGGAGCTGATCTTGCCGCTGTTCCGGGTTCATCGTTAGCTTGTATCCCTGTCATCCATCTTTCCGGAACACAAGAAGCTTACCAGAAGCTGAAGAAGGCACGAATGTCCTTCTCCTCAGTGTTGGCGCCGATGTTCTTGACGTAGACCGTAGACATGATTGCTGTTGTTGAGATGGTATCTGTGTGTGGTGAGGTGGATAGATGTCGAGGACTGGTCGAACCGAAGTGTTTGCTGTTGTTCGTTTGCTTGACAATGGGGAGAGATTCAAAGTAGAGCCAAAAGCAGAAGCGAAGTTGAAAGGAAACGTGGACTGGTCTTATGTATGTGGTATACAGGGTTCGTCAGATGATGGATTACGCTTGCCCAATGTGTAAAAAAATACAGGGCAGTGGACTTGACTGGTTCACAACCACTACAACTCAACTTGCGACTGTCACACTACACTAGGCTGGAGCGAGGGATAGAAAGCTGGAGAAACCATGGGCGGAAAGAGGGGTACACGGCGACGAGGCATGTCGTCATCGCATGATCGAGGGGCCATCCAGGGTGGCTGTGCGAACAGAGGCGGAAACACCATGAAAGTCGCTTCTGTAGTGTCGCAGGCCAGAGCGGGCCAGAAGGAGCTAAGCTTCAACGCCAAGACACGCCAGGAAGTTGATTAGCAGGGGCAAAGGGCCCATCTGTCCGCTGGAAATTGTAGTAGTGTAGAGGTATTGATATAGACCATAGGAAGTGACGACGGTGTTTGCCGTCCATCTCCGCTAGGATGAAGTTGCACATCGCAATATCAGGATGCTGTAGCATGTGAAATTGGCCTCAAAAACTGAACAAAGTGTCAGTCTTTGCTGACTGTCATTCCAGTTGCGTAGCACGTTTCAGTTAGTTTGGTGTTTCATGAGTACTAGGGGTTGAGGTAGAGGTAATTCATGATCCTGTCTTCACTTTGGGATTTGAATGCTAGTATTGTCTACGGCATAGCGCCTTGGTTGAAGCTGTGATCCCTACCTCATCCCAAATATCCCTGGCAGGAACCTGGGCGCTAAACATGACAGGAGGCTGCACCTACAACGTCGACGTCAACAATACGCACGAGAAAGGAGGTATTACAGCAAGGCTTGTAATGAGTTCCAGACGAGTGCACAATGTAAGTCATTTGTCTTCAGATATTCCATGCTCTATGTGTTTTGAATCGAACAACTGGCCAAGATTCCACATGGCTGCTGCATCGCTTCTAGCGGCAGCATCGGTTCCCAGTCCCAAAAATATGACCAACGCCAAATTCATGAATCATTGTATCCCATTAAGCTTCCCGTGTGCTTTTTACTTTGACTCCTCAGGCTTGCTCGTCTTGGCGAACTTCTTCTCGACCTCATCGTCTAGGGGACCTTTGGGGTTTGATGTGAGGTTCTGGAAACCACGTTAGTCACGGCTGGAAGAGATGTGCACAACGATGTAAAGGTCGTACCTCGAGACCAGACTTGTTGATCTGCTCCTTCTGGGAAGCATCATCGACGCCCTTACCGGAACCAGCAGGTTCGTTCTGCTGCTTGCCGGTCTGGCGCTCGGGAGGGGGGGACTGGCCGCGCTCAGGCATGATGGAAGATTTTCGGAGAGGTTGTGTTGAGAAAGTTGGATTCACACGCTATTGCCAAACGGTTAGGTACGCTGGTTGAGACTTCTTGGCTCAGCCAAACCACAAGGAAACTCACGTGTTTGTGTTGGTGTTGGTTGTAGAATGGAAAATGCACAGATTGTGATGATGCAGTGAGAGACTCGCGAGATCTTTGAGAAAGAGAAAGAAGACAATTTATATACCTATGCCACCTTGCGCGTCCATTCAAGATAACCCCGCTCTTGACATCAGCAATCGGTACCTTGACAGGTCGGTACCTCGCATGTTGAGATGCCGTTGTGCCAGTCCATGCTGCTGTGGTTTTGCGGCAGGTCCATTCCATGTCATTGATAATCGACCTGTTCTTCCGTCACTCATTGTTGGCATTGGTTGAGCAATTACATCATAGGGAAGCAAGGCCCACGGCAGTTTCCAAGTGACAGCAGCGCCAAGACGCGGGCGGGTCTGGGACAGTATTCTAGGGTGTCTCCCGGCCGGCAAAAAGGCGGGGAAGCTTCCCCTTCCGATGTTCGCTCGGCAGGCATGGAGGATGGCTTGGCCGCTGTTTCAGTTGCAGAGGTGACCGCCCCACCAATGTTTCGTTAGCTTTCAGTTCCATCAGACGGATGGTGTGAAGTGGAAGCTCACCGGCTCCGGCGATCCACTGAACAGGAACCCGTACCGTTCACGGGCACGATCACGGTGTTACACCCCGTTCGCTTCATTCGACACGAAACTGACTACACGAGCGGTCGTCCGATATTATACCATCGCACAGACACTAAGCCCTGTGGTTTTCCCATCTTCCCTACTTTTGACCCGTGCGTGTCTTGTTTCATGCCCCTTTTGTCGTCTGGTTGACGCTGGAGCCCAGGCCGTCGCAAGTCGCAAGTCTCAATCTCGCAACATCAAACATTGCCAAATCCGAAATCAACAAATTTGAAACTCTGATTGGGGCAGTAAACACATTATTTCTGTCTATGCCCTTCATTTAGTTTCTGTGGTTTTGCTGGACAAAAAGGCGCTAGAGGTGGAATATATAAGTATGTCCTCGCAAACAGCTCCTCAGACGACGGCCTCGCAAACGGCTTCGCAAAACCAAACAGGCTCTGAAGCAGCTTCACAGCAGATGGCCGGGCCTCCCCCTCCAGTATCCAACTCGCCCGCTCTGAACATTCTCCCTTCGAACCAGCCCGCCGTCAACAACGCTGTATCCTCGCCTTCGCTGCCTTCTCCTCACTATCTACCTGCCAGCATCGCCATGAAAGACAACGCGGGCGTTGATCCTGGTCCCGGACCAACACGACATCCCCGTCCCCTGACCGCCGCCGATCTGCATTTGCAACTGGAAAAGGAACAAGAGGCAGTGGTATGTTTAGACCTCCTCCAATATCTCGGATACTCAGTAGCTGACGGCTCTTGCGTTGGTGCAGGTCAACCGCCTCAGTCGTGAACTCAGCATGCTCCGCGCTGCGCAGAACGCATCGGTTGTCTCGAATGCATCCGTCATCTCGAATGCTTCCTCGGCTTCAGCTAGCGTTTCGGGTGCTGAATCCGTACCGATTGGCGACGCGTATGTGGGATCCGGTGCTCCAGGACTGTCCCATCATCGGGTTAGCATGCACAATCGTACATCTTCTAGCGCCAGCACGCGCAGCCTCACAGCCAACGCCGGTTCTATCTCGACATCGCTCACTGGTATCTCGTCGCCTGCCCCGATTCGCCCAACCCAACCGCTCCCCATCGGCGGTATCAGCTTGAGCAGGCAGAATAGTGCTGCTTCCAGACGGAGTCAGGCAGGATCACCATCCTCTGCTCACTTCATGGGCAGCTACTCGGGTGCTCTTCCGATGCACAGTTTCACACCCTCATCGAACCCTGGCGATCCTTCGACGGTCAACTATTTCGCCCATCGCCTGTCCGGTGCATTTCATTCAACGGCTGCAACGCCCGGATCGATCCCCACTAGTGACCATTCTCCAGCTATCTTGCCAGGAACCCCTCGCTATGAGGAGACGGCCTTCTATCGTAGCGAACTGGAGTCTGTGAAGAGAGAGAATGAAGCGCTGAAACGACGAGTCCGGGAGTTGGAACGCATGGTCCGCGAGCGACGGGCTAGCGATGCTAGCCGCGCAAGCCAAGGCGGTGCAGGGTCACTAGCCCCGCGGACCCGGAGCGACAGTACTAGTACCACTGCCAGCGTTAGTGTTACTGCTAGTACTGCTGCCACCGGCGGTGTCAGCATTGCTGCGCCGAGGGATGCTGATCCTACGGCAAGAGCGGAACGACCGAGAGTGGTCAGTGCAATCAGCAGCATCGCGGTTGGTGTACCGGACGACGAGGTGAAGGTTGGCGAGAGTGCCGCTAGCTCAGGTCTTGGAGAGCATGATAAAAGAAGAAAGCAGGACAAGGGGCCAGAAGCAGAGGGACAGACACAGGCTTAGTTCGAACCAGTGCTAACCGTTAGGATACTGGCCCGGGTATGTCCGAGAGACAACAGCATCAACGGTTCAACAACAGATTCGGCCTATAATCATAATCAAGGCCTGTAAGAGCAAGGCCAGATGCTCCGGAATGGTACACAGCGGAGTTTGGAATGGGTGCTTTGACGGGAGCTTACCTATATTTTTTCTAATCAACTTTCGACTTTACGGATTAAATTCGGCGCAGGGTCAGGTACATAGCTCACAGGTCAAGAGGCGTTGCGTTCTGGTGGAATAGATACTGTAAGTAAGACCGGTAGTTTTTCTTATCCAAGCTTATTGTAATCAGTTCGTTTCCGCATGCACTGAGACCCCTTTTCTTGGTCAAATGCTTGGGCAACTACGCACACAGTCTCCATCTCTAGGGGTGTACGTAATGTTCAGACCGAGAATGTTCCACGGACTAATAACGCCTGGAGATGGCTATTCACACACTTCTGGTACGAAGGTCAACAATTGGACATTTGTGATTGAACTTCGATCCGACGGCTTGATAGCGTAGCCGATATTGAGGAGAAGATGATACAAGGCATGTCGGCGTGCAAGTCGCTCGGGAGCTATCAATGTTGGCGCTTGATGTGAGGTTATTGGCGACTTGGGGGAGGTGTGATGCCTGCTTGTTCACAAAGCTGAACGGGTCCTAGTGTACATAACATACACTAGCTGATTTGCGATGAAGTTGTATAATTTCATAATGCTTTGGTCAGCCGCTTCAATGGGGCCTACCGGTATGGAGCCGGATTGTAAGCTCTTCGTCATAAGGAAGAACAGCGAATTCCTTCCAGACCTGGACGGCGTTAATAGCATCTTGCCTGCATGATAGAGTACCAGGCTCCCGGGCCACTTGCGTCTACCTGGGTGCCACCTACCCCGTCGTTCATTAGAGTTTCACAGGGGGACATCCTATCTGATACTGATATCCTCGACCAGCACCTCAGTTTTACATTTCTTGTCTTTTTATATGTCAGATTGAAGGTTGTTTTCCGATATCAAAACATCGTGGATCGTGACGGCACACAACGGTTGCAAATCTGCATGGCACTCCATTTTAGCGGAATTGGTGCCGAGTACCGCACGGGAGGCTCCATCAAATCAGGGGCATGGGCCAGAACTTAGGACGTATTGGGCTAGGTCGACCTGAGACATCCATATAAGCTAGGTTACACTAAACTTTTCTTTTTCTTTTCTTTGATCGTTCCTCTCAACATCATAAGTAAGCTCGCTAAGAATCGATACTACAGTAATGCCCCCTGCTTTTGCAACCCCCCCCTTATGCTAGAACCCCACTTATTACACAGCCAGTTGAGTACAAGATTTATATACCCATACTAGGACTGTTAATTACTAATTACAATAGTATTAGCCAGATTTTTGCAAAAATAGGGGTGCTAACAAGGGGTTTCATGCATCTAATAGGGGTATCAGCAGCTATAAGCAAATATTACAGACCGCCATCAGACCGTCAAAAGGAAGGGTTAGGGTTATAAAATCTTCCAAATTCAGTTAAATTCCAATACCTAAACCTTAATCTCCTACCTTTTAGCACCCACCTCTTTACACCACTTTTTACCTATCTTCAACCGCATTTATATACAACTCTTTTACCCAATTCGTTTACTAATAACCTCTATCCCCATACAATTTATTAATACATCTTTATTACTCAAAAACTGACCTTATTTCTACTATACCTATCTTTAAGTATGCTACGCTCAACTAGGATTAGCGCTTACAACTCTAAAAGTGGGCGGACAAGCAACCTTCTCGCCCGTCTCTCAAAAAAGTATTAAATTACATTACTAAAAAATAGGGCATCATTATACCTCACTACTCCATCTCTCAATACCTCAATAAAAAAAAGAATTCCACAACGCTTATTTACATTAATAAACGCTCTACGCAAACTAAGAGCAAGCGTCTCTATATTAAATAATAGCCTATTCTTAAAAAACTCCTCTATACCTAGTAGCTCAATTTTAAAATATAGGGCTTAAGTACTTCTATTGAACTTTTATAACAGAAAGTATAAGATATCTAAATAGAATACCCTAAAGCCTATAATTATAAACTAATTAACGAGGATATATACCCTACTTTTAGAAAAAAAAATAATATATTTTATTTAAATAACGCTTCTACATTCGCGAGCGTAGCTTCTACGGCGAAATTACCAATACCCCTATCAACAACAAATATATATAAGAAGAAATACGCAAAATTAAATTAAAGGTATTAGTAATACCTAAAGGGAACCGTTATAATATAAATAAAACGGAATTATATTAGTAATATACAATATCATTTGGTTTCACAATTAAAGTTCGTCCCAGTATTAAGAAAAAATAAATTACATATATTACTAATACTTACAACTAATAATATTAATAATAACTTTTTTAATATTTAAGCTATTAAAAAGTATAAAGAACTACTAGTATTAAGGAGATTCAACTTTAGTAGCACCAAAATCGTCTAGCGAAACAATAAGAACTCATAAATAATGGGGCAAATTATAAAGAAATAGCTCCAAACCTTTTACACCTATATTAATCGTATAAAACCTAGAGAACCTATCATTCTTTTACTCAATAACTTCTCTATATATAAATTAGGAGTTCAATTTTCCCCTCCACCCGAAAATATTACTATTTTATTCTTCCCCACCAACATTACATTACTATATCAACTAATAGATTAGGCTATTATCAATACCTTTAAAGCATATTACTATTACCACTTTCTCAAGTAAATATATTAGCAATTCACTAAACTATCCCTAATAACCAATCTTATAACCCCCCTCTCTAAAATAAATCTAAAACTCGCACTAAAATAGACTTTACAAATCTAATTTAGGAAGGTAAAAATTTCAATTATTCGCAACTACTAGATTCGCTCTAATATTTTAAGTACAAATAAAATTAATAATAACCTTACTATTAATATACTTTACAATATAAATAGACTTTTCAAAGAAATTAACTACTATATCCCTGTACAAAATCGGATAAATCTAAAGAATTTTCTAAACCCTGCGGACAAGAATCAAGTACTAATAGAACTTAAAAATACTAAAGAAGTACTTCAAAATATTATAAATAAATAGCAGCATCAATTTAACGAACAAAAGACAGTAAAAAAGGAGGACGATAGTAAGGTTTATAAACTAATAACTACACTTACAAACAAAAAAACAGTAAAGCATATCACGAATATACTCAATTAAAGACTCGAGAAAAAATACTTAGCATTTAAAAATATACAGACATTAAGAAAAATAAAACAAAGGGTAGAAAGATAGTAGTAGGATAATAAAACTCAAACTACCTTACAACAGCTATGGCGGAGAGAATGTTTGTAAATGTTCATCATTCGAATCAGAGTCGATTTTGTATGCGAAAATGGCCTTTTTAGGAATTTCTGACATAGTTCTGTAGATAGGTTCCATCTATTGCAACTACCCCACTTATTACTAGAAAAATCGCTGCAGGAATTGTATTGCAATAACAGGGGACATTACTGTAACAGCGACAAATCCTTGTTTGGAAACTCCAACCACTCTGCAAAAACCACCGGCCATTTTATGGTTCGCCCCATCTGTTTACCCGATTCTGGATCCGCTGGTCATGAACAGAATGACAAGTTCGCGACAGACCGACTCCATCTCCCCTCATTCAGCATCAGTCATGATTGATAAGCTGATGCGATAAGGGCCGGTGTCGGTGTCGTCTGGAGATCTCCGCCTGGAGTTTTACGTGTACAGCCATGGTGTTCTCCACTAACAAAGGGATTTCGATATCCCGGCACTCAGAGCAGTTGACGATTGGTCGAATAGATCCTCAATGTTTTAAAAATGTTCCTGGCGATGGCGACCAAGATCCACCTTCCTATCGGTGCAACTCCCTGTTGGGTGATTCACCCCCCTGGTAGGTACACTATGTAGGAGAGAAAACTCCCATGTGGAACCATTGATTCTTTGAGGTTCGGAGCCACCAAGGGTCTCTCCGAGTTTTGTTTTGCATCTACACTACTCTAGATTAGAGGTACTTATGTCTTTCCCTCCCCTCATCGGAGAGATTCACAATGTCACTGTCGGTGAAGTGCAGCTATATCGACTTTGCCTCCCGAGTTGAGGTCAATACCATCCAGCATTCCTGAACGCTCTTGCTGTCCACTTGCACCCCTCAACTTCGTGTTGACGGGAAGGTGCTGTTGGCTTGACTGGGATACGACTCAACCCCTGGAAGGAATCGAAGGCCAACAAACGAGAAAGCAGCAGGAATCGGGTACAAGAGCATAGTTCGCGTGGAGGAAAGCCAGTCGACAACCACTCCGACAATCACTGCCCGCTCTGATCACGATGTCAGCAACACCACGCCTTGCGTCTGGCGGACACCCAGCCGACCTCAACGCTGAAGGGTACCGCGAGAAGGGAATGGACTCATCGAGCCCGTCATCAGAAGGGGAGTTGGACGAAACCGATCTCGAATATGCAGCAGCGCAAGGCCAACGCGATGATCTGGCCCGCGTCCAATCCCAAGCGCACTCCTTCCTGGCGCCAAAGCTCTCGCTGCCTCACGAGATCGTTTTTGTGGGCATCATTTGCTGCGCCCAGCTCACGACGCAGGCTTCCATGGGTCCCTCGCTCAGCATCGGTAGGGAGATCGGAAGGCAATTCGGTGTCACTTCTGCCGCCGACGTCGCTTGGTACTTGGCCGCCTACGCCTTGACGATCGGTACCTTTATCCTCATCTGCGGCCGCTTGGGTGACTTGTTTGGGCACAAGAGGATGTTGGTGATCGGGTATACGTGGTATGCGGTTTGGACGATGATCTGTGGGTTGTCGGTGTTTTCGAACTCGGGGAATATCATGATGATTGTGTGCCGTATGTGTCTCGTCTTTACCCCTTTTCACATTTGTACGCATGAAAATGCTGACACATAACCCAGGCGCTTTCCAAGGTGTCGGCCCTTCTATTCTCCTTCCCAACGGCCTCGCCATCCTGGGCGGTAGCTACCCCGATGGTCCACGGAAGCACATGGTCTTCGCCCTCTTTGGCGCCATGGCCCCGGGCGGTTGCGCTCTGGGCTGCGCCATGGCTGGCGTCTTTGAGCTTGCCTGGTGGCCCTGGGCCTTCTGGTCGTTTGCCATTGCACTGCTCTGCCTCGCCGGCGCCGCGCAGCTCATCATTCCCGACAGCGTCGACGCTCACGCAAGCAGCTGCTCCTTCTTCGACAAGCTCAAACAACTCGACGCTATCGGCGGCACCGTGGGTGTCTCGGCCC